TCTCTCTCTCCTCTCTCTCTCTCTCTCTCTCTCTCTCTCTCTCCCTCTATGAGGTCAATAAAATATATATTTTGGAAAAACCAAATAATTACATAATCAACATACAGATCAATTCTATTCATTATAAATATTAAAATAGAATAATTGGTAAACTCAGAGAAGGCAGACAATGTTCAAATTTGCTCTGTTCCCTATTGTTAAAAAAGAAGCTCTTTAACAGCTAGTGACTGAGTGGGCACATATCTGCCTTATCTTGTGTAAGAACAAGGCAGAATATTTACCTTAATATACATGTTTCTGAACCTGGGACTCACTCCAACACCTATCTGATGTATGTTTATGACCTTTGAAGGCTGACATGGGGCAACAAGATATATAGCAAAGGCCCAGATCCACTAATATTTATGACGCATAATCTTTTTGGTAAAAAGTGAAGAATACCAAGAGCTCAGGATTTACAGTTGGTGATTTCCCAGAACAGAGGGGGGAAATAATCTGTTTTCCTGATCCTGTTCACTTTCGTCCGCCCTCCTGAGCTTTGTCATGGGAGCTGTTACAGTGTTTTGTTGGGAGAAGAATAGAATTTGTGAACCAGGATTTTAAAATTTATACAACAGGCACTATGGCTTACCAGTTTAGGGCAGACTGCTTGGGTTCAATCTTAGCTTTGCTATTTCCTTAGAGAAGCCAGTTAGCATTTCTGTTTTTCATTTATCTTACCTATTAAATGAGAATAAGAGCTGTACTTATCTCATAGGGTCACAAAGAGAATTAGATGAGTCAGTATGAGCAAAGTATTTATACACAGCACATGCTATATACCCATTAACTGTTGTTCTTGTATTTTTGGAGTTTATAAAGATACTAGAGGCCCGATGCATGAAAATTTGTGCACTGGTGGGGGGGGTCCCTCAGCCCAGCCTGCCCCCTCTCACAGTTTGGGAGCCCTCAGGGGATGCACTACTGATGGCTTGGGTTGCTTCTCTGCGGGAGGTGACCGGGCGATCAGGGGAAGGCGCCGCTCCCATCACCTTGCTGCTGCTACCACTGCTGGCCACTGGCCCTCTTCGGCTCTCACAGCTGCTGCGGCTGCCTGCCCTGCTCGGCCCTCGCAGCCGCTGTGGCCTTGTCCATAAAGACGTCCAGAAGGACATCCAGAAGGACGTCCAGTCTATTTGGTCTAATTAGCATATTACCCTTTTATCAGTAATTATTTTATAGATTCTAAAACCCTGTCTCTGAATTAGACATGGCCTGTCACATGAATTGACTTTCTTGGTGTGAAGAATTCCATGTGGCCAGTAAAACTCTTGATGTTCTATCAGGTAAATGTTTTGTAAGAACTCTTCTAACTCTAAGCTTCAGAGGACTCAAAGCAGGAAGAGGTCATTGCTGATTGAGAACAGGTCAGAAGGCCCTTTACAAAGGTGGATATTTGAGACAGGACATAAAATAATCAGTAGGACTTAGAGAGGAGGAAAGAAAGGTACTCTTTCCTCTTAGGAAATTATTTTTAGTTCCCAAATTGTGCTTGTCTTTTGTTTATTCCAGGGTACACTTTCCAAAAGCACTTCATCCTCCCAAGGACAACACTAACAGTCTCTGATGTTGTCTATTGTGTGGGGTTGGGGAGAAAGACAAGTAAAGGTTACATAACACATTTAAAGTCTTTGTGTTTCTCTGTGGCAGAATTTCAGTAAAGTCTGTGAGTTTACAATAGTTAGGAGGTACTGACTGTGTGTGTGTGTGTGTGTGTGTGTGTGTGTGTGTGTGTGTGTGTGTGTGTGTGAGAGAGAGAGAGAGAGAGAGAGAGAGAGAGAGAGAGAGAGAGAGATCCAGATTCCAAGAGAGAGAGAGAGAGAGAGATCGATCCAGATTCCAGCCTTCTCTCCCCGTTCTGTCTTTTCTTCAGGGGAAAGGAGGATTTGTTTCATACCTTTCCTAAGTCAGTTTCATGTCACAGCTGCACCTCTCTGTCTCTGTTAGGATCCCCAGAGCCATCACTCACTTTACTGCTAGTTGCTGCCAGGACACTTGGCCCATTGTCCCAGTGAAAGTATGTTGTTACTACTAGTTGTCCAGCCTTCTCTCCCCGTTCTGTCTTTTCTTCAGGGGAAAGGAGGATTTGTTTCATACCTTTCCTAAGTCAGTTTCATGTCACAGCTGCACCTCTCTGTCTCTGTTAGGATCCCCAGAGCCATCACTCACTTTACTGCTAGTTGCTGCCAGGACACTTGGCCCATTGTCCCAGTGAAAGTATGTTGTTACTACTAGTTGTAGGTGTCAGCAAAGGGCTGGCATTTTTACTGCCCTGACTTTTTCTTTACCCCATCACAAGGTTGTTCTGACACATTAAATTTACACTGAAGATTTAGTTATAGGAAGTTTGCTTCATAACAACACAACTTACAATGAACTATTAGATGTCCTTAGTTTTAAATGTCTTCCAGCTACTCTACTATTGGGAATTTTCTTCCTCTGTCCTATTGCCAAATCTCTCTCTCCTCTCTGAATCCTCTGTCCTTTTAGATTCACCCCAGTATAAACTCTGTTTATTCTTATGCAAATAATTTACCTATCTTTTAGTTTTATCATTCTCTTTAAATACATGCCCTCGGCGTCTTTCCCTTCATCCTCATACAGCTCATCAAGGCATTTGCCAAATAAAGACATGAAGACAACTCTGAAGAGAGTTCTGGCACCAGGTGCTAAGTGGTAAACATGTGATGAGATGAAGAATTCTCACAGAGGAAAACTGTACAATCACACCTCCGAGATACTGTGGGTTCCAGACCGTGGCAGTAAAGCCAGTGTCGCAATAAAGCAAATCATAATCATTTTGCTGGTGGAAGGTCTTGCCTTCAATTCATAAAAAAAAACTCAATATCTGTGAAGTGCAATAAAGAACGTGCAATCATACAAAATTTGCCTGTAACTGAATATGAAAGGATCAGCCTGGATAGTTATCCCTCCACTGATGTGCTAACAAATCCACAGACAACAGCAAAGTGGAAGACCATCTTTGCTTAGTCAGGTCAAAGGTGAGATGACTGTCTTAAGCTGGATTCCCTAGAAATGGAACTGAGATGCAAATTACTGTGCAAGTTGTTTCATTGAGAAAATGCCTGCAGGGAAAGCCTGTAGGAATGGGGAAAGCAGGATGAGGTCAGGGGAAAAGCCAGGTAAAGATGTGGGCTCAATCAGTATGATCCCAGCTTGATCCCACAGGAAACTCTGGAGCAAGAATGATACCAGGGGGCCAGGCCTGGAGCCAATTAGGCAGCTCTGAAACTGGCCAGACCCCGGAGATAAAATATACACCAAACTGCATTCCGCCAGTCACTTTTGTTGCATTTTTATCTTCTCCAATTTAAAATTTCTACCCCTTTTATATCTTTATATTTTATATTTTTATTTTGTTGACTCACTAACCATAAACATTTATGTTCTGATGAATATTGATTGGCTCCACAATGGGCACCACTACAGTTGAGCTACCAAATTCTGTTAGATAGCATAGCTGGACACACGTATGAGGCTTATAAAGGATTGAGGTATTACTGACTTCTGATTGGTTGGATTACTGTTGACCCTTGAACAATGTTGGAGTTAAGGGTGCCAATTCTTGTGCAGTCAAAAACCCATGTATAACTTTTAAACTTAAGTACTAATAGCCTACTATTAACTGGAAGCCTTACCAATAACATAAAGTTGATTAATACATATTTTGCATATGTTTCATATACTATAGTCTTACAATAAAGTAAACTAGAGAAAATAAAATGTTATTAAGAAAATTGAAAAGAAGAGAAAATACATTTACATTACTATACTTTATTTATCAATACTGTAAGTTTACATAGTTTATTTACAAGATGCAAAAAATCCACAGATAAGTGGACCCATGCAGTTCAAACCCATGTTATTCAGGGTCAACTGTAGATTGATTGATCCAAATCATAGCTAGAGAGGCAAAGATTCACAAATATTTGATTGCTCTTGCAAAACAAGATGTCATATTTAGTTAATATTTTATAGAGCAGTTTTTTCTAAGCAAATATTTGACAATGTCTTTTTATCTGATAACTACAGATAAAAATAACCCAAAACACAAAGATATCTTATAACAAAAAATAATTGAAATAAAGCATGCACCATTATCTATAATAATAAAAGCATAATATGCTAATTAAACCAGACAGACGAATGACCCTCTGGACGTCCTTCCAGACAAAGCCGCAGGCAGGGGGGTGGGGGGCAGAGGCAGAGGTGGTTAGGGGCAATCAGACAGGCAGGAGAGCAGTTAGGGATGATCAGGCAGGCAAACAAGTGGTTAGGGGTGATGAGGCAGGTAGGCAGAGGTGGTTAGGGGTGATCAGTCAGGCAGGGGAGCAGTTAGGGGCATCAGGCAGTCAGGCAGAGTGGTTAGGGGCGATCAGGCAGGAAGGCAGAGACGGCTAGGGGTGGTCAGGCAGGCAAGCGAGCAGTTTGGGTGATCAGACCGGCAGGCGAGTGGTTAGGGACAATCAGGCAGGTAGGAGAATGGTTAGGGGCGATCAGGCAGGCAAGCAAAGTGGTTAGGGGTGATCAGGAAGGCAGGCAGGTGAGCGGTTAGAAGCCAGTGGTCCCAGATTGCAAGAGGGATGTTGGACTGCCGGTTTAGTCCCAATCCCGCGTGGGATCGGGCCTAAACCAGCAGTCGGACATCCCTCGAGGGGTCCCAGATTGCGAGAGGGTGCAGGCTGAGCTGAAAGACCCCCCCCCTCAATGCATGAATTTTGTGCACCAGGCCGCTAGTATAGTATAATATTAAGCCAAGATTTGTCAGTTGCAAAGAGCAATCAAACTAATCCTACTAAAGAAAGAAGTTAATTTCAAGGCTACATAAACTTCACAGAGTCCAAGACAATGAGACAGAGGGCGGGACTATCGGAAGCTCTTTGTCTTAGTGATGGTGTGGTCTCCTTCTTCTCTGATTCTTTCTACAGTCTACTCCAACTGTCATCACCTCAGTCATTTTTCTTTACCCCCTCATCTTATATTGGGCCATTGGCCCAACTTCACGTTAGACCGCCAATGACTGGACCCTCCCTCTAGGTCTCTTGATTCAAATCCTTGAGAAAAGGAATCTGATAGAGTGAGGTGACTATCTCTGGACAGAATCACCTATGTCCACTCAGCATGGCTGGAGCAAGAGAATTTAAAACTAGAAAATTAAATTGGGTATGAATGATACATTGGTATTTTTGCTAAAAATAAATTTTTAAATTATATTTTTATTGATTTCAGAGAGGAAGGGAGAGGGGAAAAGGGATAGAAACATCAATGATGAGAGAGAATCATTGATCAGCTGCCTCCTGCATGCCCCCTACTGGGGATCGAGCCTGCAACCTGGGCATGTTCCCATGACTGGGAATCGAACAGTGACCTCCTGGTTCATAGATTGATGCTCAACCACTGAGCCACACCAACCGGGCTATGCTACAAAGAATTTACACAGACCACACATGTTCACATTCAGTAACTGGGTATTCCACATTCTCCTGTTAAGGCCAGAAGAAAGTTTATTCTGGTACAGGCCTAAGGCCTAGAGACAAATAAAACCTTAGAATAGACTACAGTCACCTTAGAATAGACTGAATTCTGTGGGAGGAATAAGTGAGGGCATAAAGAATACATCTGGAAGAAGTTTTAGCTTTGGATTATGTCTGTCTATTCAATGACCCAGACGAAGTAGAAATGTCAGTGGGGAAAAAAACATAATTTTTTCCTAAAGTTATTTTTGTTCTATGACACTGAGGTTGAAACTAAGATGTAGATTCTGCTCTAGTCGCCCCTTCTCAGTCTTATTCAGCTTTCTGAAGCTCCAGGAATATGTCTGACTCACAGGCCAGCCTTGTGCGTTCGAGTGACAAATGTTATACACAGTATTATACACAGTGTGCTTGGAGAAGCTTCCAGAAAGGCATGACTACTCCAACAGGTACCTGGCAAAAATAAAAAATAAAAAAATAATGATAGCAATGCCGGAAATCTCATCATTAAAGATTCATCTAAGCCAGTGGTTCTCAACCTTCTGGCCCTTTAAATACAGTTCCTCATGTTGTGACCCAACCATAAAATTATTTTCGTTGCTACTTCATAACTGTAATGTTGCTACTGTTATGAATCGTAACATAAATATCTGATATGCAGGATGGTCTTAGGCGACCCCTGTGAAAGGGTCGTTCGACCGCCAAAGGGGTCGCGACCCACAGGTTGAGAACCGCTGACCCAGATGAGTTTCTAAATACCATTCCCCACTAAAAGGAATAGCACATCTTGGAAAATGGCTGATTCCAGGTCAAGGGCAGAAAAAGTTCAATGTGAGCCCCGAACATCTTGTCTCACAAACCAAAGAAACGCTCAACTGGGTTGGGGGATGCGGGGGAGGGGGCTATAAGGGGTCAATGGGAGGAAAAAGGGGACATATGTAATACTTTCAACAATAAAGATTTTCAAAAAAAAGAAGTGCTCAAAAACTAATTGGATCATATCAAAGGGACATAGAGACTTCCACTGGTTAAATGTGGAATAATGATGACAATGAATTATAACCTCCAAAAGTCCATAGTTATATTTAAAAGAAAAAAAAAAGGCAAGTTCCTTTTTATAAAAGAATGCAGCTAGTAAATGTAGATGAAATGGTAGAAGGAGGAAATGAACATTTTGCAACTCTCAACATAATAGTTAATCAAAGCAAGGATCCTCAGTGGATTTTTCAATGATTGCTATTGTTGGTGATGTTGGTTCCTGGGGTCCATGCCACCCTCTCACTTCTATAGTTACACAGTTACACCAGAGCTTTGAGTGTTGGAGACTGGCACCCAGGCTAGTCTGTCACTTTGGCAGAGAGCAGATACTTCGACATTTTTATAGCTCTTGATCTATAGTAGATCCGACATTTTGGACACAACATTGGGTCCAAACATTTTGAAGCAATTTGTACAGCCACTATTTTGTACCTTCACAAGAAATGTGTATAATTATATGATTTTCTAATTAAGTGGGGTGGGGGAGAAGTACACCTCATTGATTGGTTTTTATTTCTTTGTTCACTAATGAATTTTAACTTTTTTCTAATATGTTTATTGAGTCCATGGATTTCTTCTTGTGAGAATTTGACTATTTGTAGAATTTGCTCATTTACGTTTTTAAGGCTTAGTGTTCTTTTCTCATTTGTTCAATCTTCTATGGTCTATGATGTATTGTGATTTATTTTTACTGACATTGAGGATTTTTAAAAGTATATTATAAAAGGCCTTTGTTATAGGAAAAGCAATAATAGAAGACCTGATGACACTGCAGAGATGAATTCATTCTTCTTCAAGAGGTCATAAAATAAATACTGTAACTTCTTTTTGTTTTTTATGTGCAAAGGCTGTTCTTTGTATGCACTCAAATTTGTCAGTATTTTCTTTACTATTATATCTATTGTTTCTAAGATTATAATTATAAAGATATCCCTTCACAATTTTCATAGCTGTTAATTATATTTTATTCTGATTTCTAAATGTTAGTATTTTATTAGTCTAACTTTTAAATGTATCTGAAATGGATTTTGAGACTGAACAAAAATAGTTTAAAATGCAAAAAATGACAAATTGACTTTCAAAATGGACTTGCTCTTTACCTTTTATCCAGCTAAATTATGACTACAGTGGATGGAAGAAGACCATGAATCCAGGCATTGCAAAGAAGATAAATACGCATGTCAAAAAAAGGAGAGCTCAGCCAAAGAGAATAATGATAGAGAAGAAACTCATAAAATGTTCTTACTGAGAGACTGTTTTGGTTTTATTTTGTTGTTCTGATAGCTTGATTGTTGGGGGAGGGCTGCAAAAAGAAATGCAAAAAACTAGCTGATTTTAACTCAGTCTTATTGCAAAATTGCCTGAACAATACAAGAACAAGCTTGAATGGCTACAGCTGGTGCAGCCTCGCCTGGACCACCTCCGGAATGAGGCCCAGAAATCAGGATTTTAAAAAGATTCCCAGGTGATTCCAATGTGCAGCCAAGGTTGAGAACCACTGGATTAGCCGAACCATGACTATTACACTTTCCCGAGCAGATAATCCTTCTATTTCCTGAATAAACTCAGCAGTTAGGATTTACTTCTTCATCTTTTTCGGTGTTCCTTTGATTAAAATCTAATGAATTTATAATGTATGCACTTATGTTCTTTAATGACCAAATTGTTTACAGGTTGCACTCAGCTCCTTTCACTTTCCTGAGGCCTGTCTGTTCACCCCAGACGCTAACCTTTGGCTTCCAGGCAGTCTTTGTAAACAAGGAAAAATCATGGTCACTTTTTGCAGATTGCCTGGAAATATAAGAGACCCAGATGACAGAAATGTTCTCGGTGCCCTTCCTGTGGCTTTCTCCCTGCAGAAATAATTTGGTTTATTGAATTCATACCATTCTTACCTTCAAGCTGGTGGACGGTATTTATCAAGCTGCTTTCAGACTTCACACCTGGGTAATTCTGTTGCTTGAATTTTCTCATTGGTTGTTAAATAATTGAACTAAGTTCATTTTTTTTCTTTGTACCGTAATGTTTTCATTTCTAATAGCAAACAGCTTCTCTCTGTTGAGGATTCAGTTGTTCAAAATATTCTTTTAACTGTTTGAGGCTCATAGTTGAATTGTGTATCATAATTGCAAAGGAGAGGATAGAAAGGGAACAGGAAAACTTCTAGTTTTAGCCTATCAACCCTAATGGGCAACAGTGGCTGCTAATTCTTAAACTGATATTATCTGGCCTTTGCTTTAAATGCATTTTTATTGTTGTTGTTGTTGAACCACAGTGTCTAACAGATATAAATATCCCTTAAGTAAATGAATGAATGAAATCCAGAAATTTAAATACTATACTCCAGAATTAATTAAAGACTATATGGCAGCCTAAAACCAACCCATTACAGTGATGAATTTGAAGAAAGTACATTAAATCATTAGACAGATGGGCCCATGCCTCATTTTAAAAATGTAATTCTCTTTTACAACTTTAAAAGCTAATACCATGAGAAGGCAATTTGGTCTGTTTTCTGACTCTATTAGAAACAGCTGATTAACATTCCTGTTGGCTGCGTGTAATTCATATTAAAGGAAGGGAAAAAACTACACTTTCATATTTTAAGCTCTTTTTCTTGTATTGTGAGATCTGGTTCCTTTACTACCCAGCCTTAGAATACATTTCTTAGGTGGATTTTACCCATTATAAGCCCCTATGAAATGCTAGATTCCCAAGTTGGCTTCTTTTATTAGATTAGCTATCTTGTTTTCACCCCCTTGGCCTTCCTGAGAGACTAGGTTCAATGTGGCTAAATTGTCAAGTCGATGAGGGGTGCAGGGAGGATGGGGAAAGCTGGGGCAGGAGGACACTGGGCATCTGTCTAGATGGGAGAGGAGAAGGGAAGGAAAATTATAAAGGAAACAGGAGAAGGCAAAAAGGATAAGAAATAAGGATAATTTCACCCTTAATGTTCATGCAGCCCATCAGTCAGTCAACCAACATTTATTGCGTGCCTGCTGTATGCTGGTGCTGTGCCACTTCCATGCTGTGCAGGTGTCAAAGACACGGCTTCTTCCTGTCTTCAAGGATTGTATAACCTAGAAGAGGAGAAAAGGTGAAGACAATGATGTTAACAGAAGGTAGAATGAGATCAAGGCTGTGCATTCATTCATCCTTGAATTTCTGTCCTCCATTTTCTCTTAAGTCCACTCTAAAAAGGTTCTTACCCCCACTACTCCTCCAAAACCACTTTCAGAAAGGTCACTCATGATCAAATGCTAAATGTAATGGCCAGTTCTCAGTCCTTATCTAACTTATTAGCAGTATTTGTCACAACCCAGCATTCTCCCTGAAATACAGTCTTCTCTTGGCTTCCAGAACATGCACTCTTGGTTTCATCCTCTCTCTTCTGTCTCTTTTTGAATCCTTTGTTAGTTCTTCAGCGTCTCTCATATTTCTTTATGCTGACATGTCCCAGAACTTGATTGTCGTCCTCTTCTGCTCTCTGTCTACAGTCACCCCCTTGATGATCTCATCTAGGTTTATGACTCTAAATACCACCTTCTTGCTGATAACTCCCAAATTTATAGCTCCAACCTAGACCTTCTTTCTGAACTTGAGATTCATATATCCAACTGGGTTCTTGATACCCAAACTTGAACATCTAATAAACATCTCATGTCCAACCTATCCAAAACTGAACTTGTGATCTCTACCGCCCACCCACCCCCCATTCCATCAAATCTACTTAACCTACAACTTTCCCTTTCTCAGTTTATGGCAACTCTATTCTTCTATTAACTCAGGCTTAAAACCTTGGAGTCATCTGTGGTTCCTCTCTCTCTTACATCTCATATGCAAACATTTTTGGAACTCTTGTTGGCTCTACCTTTTTTAAAAAATTTAAAACTTTATCATTTCTCACCATCTTCAAAGCTACCACTGTGATCTAAGTAATCTGGTCCTGTCAGGTTTACTTACATTCTAACTGATCTCTCTACTTCAACTTTTGCCCTCCTACCTTAGACTATTATCAACCTGGCTGCCAGAGTAATTCTTGTAAAACTTAAGTCAGATAACTCAGATCATGTCCAAAACCCCACAATAGCTTATCTTTTCAATTTTTCATGAAAGCCAGAGTCTTTACAAATGGCCAAAAGTCCTCTGAGATGATGTTACTCTTCTCCTTCACCTTGCTCACTTGCTCTAGACCAGGGGTGGGCAACCCCTGGCACGCGTGTCAAACATGGCACGTCAGTAACTTTTGCTGGCACGTGAAACCCTCTCTTATAATCTTCCATTTACAATTTTTTTCTTAATATCGACTTTTTTATTTTTCAGATAAATTCAGTGTAGGTGCATCTTAGATAAATAAATAATTTTACATAACAAGTTATCTTAAAGACCATAGACATGGATTGACGAGAGAGGGGAAGAGCAATTTCTATGCCTCTGCCTTAACTCTCCCTGCCTTCCTAGATCTGACCAGTGTTTTGGTTTCATCCACATACGCTTGTGAATCTTTGTTCTCAGTGATGAATTTTGTTAAGTCTCACAATAGGAGTAGCCTGACGGATGAAAGTAGTAGCTCGTGCATATCTCTGAAGGTCACGAAATATAAACCTGATGTAAAATCTCTGTCATCAGTGATGCAGCAGCAAAAGTCCCACTGATAATAGAGTTATAAAGTTTTCTGTCAGACTATCAGTGTACATGTATGCATTAAAAAATAAATGTATATTTCATCATCATATACTGTGTTTTTGTTGCTCGAATGAATTTTATTATTTCTTCAAGGTTCTTCACATACGTACACCTTAAGAGATATCAAGTAGGCGTAACATGTTCTCAAAAAATTAGGGTTGGCACGCAGAAGAATTTTGAGTCAGAGATTTTGCTGGGTTTGGCACGCACTCACAAAAAGGTTGCCTACCCCTGTTCTAGACACACTGCCTCCTGCTATTTCCCCAACACACCAGGAATCCTCAGGGCCTTTGCACGGGCCATCCCTCCTAACCACTCTACCCCTAGCCCAGATGCCTGCATGACTAACCCCTTCCGCTCCTTTAAGTCTTGGCTCAAAAGCCACCATTGCAATTGGACCCCCCGACCACCTTATTTAATGCTGCAGATTATGCACCTCCATTTTTTCTTTATACTTTAGTTTTTCATTTTCATTTTACTTTACCTTGTCATTTTTCCATAGCAGTTATCACTTTCTAACATATATAATTTCCTTACTATCATCTGTATTGTTTGTCTCTCCCTGCTAGAAGCTGAGCTCCATGAAGGAAGGGATCTTTATTTTATGGGGTTTTTTTAAATTAAATTTATTAGAGTTACATTGGTTAATAAGATTATATAGTTTAAAGTGTACATTTCAATAATACATGATCTGTATATTGCACTGTGTGCCCACCACAAAGTCAAATCATCTTTTGTCACCATATATTTGGCCCTCTTTACCCTTTAATACTCCCCACACCCTCCCCTCTGGTAACCACCATACTACTGTTCATGTCTATGAGTTTCAGTTTTATATCCCACATATGGGTGAAATCAGATGATCCTTAGCTTATTCTGAATGACTTATTTTGCTTAGCTTAATATCCTCAAGGTTTATCCATGTTTTTGCAAATGGCAGTATTTTGTCTTCTCTTTATTCACTGATAAAACTCAAACACCTAGAACACTGTCTGGGATGTTGAAGGTGCTTAATGAAATTTTTTGAATTGAAATTGAATTCATTCAACATCCATTTGACAAATATATATTTAGTACCTACTATGTGCCAGGCACTGTGCTAGAGGCTTGATATTCAGCAATGAATAAAATAGACTTGTCCTTATGTTCATGAAACTCACAGACCATCAGGGATCACGGATTCTGGGCAAGTAATTGCAATGTGATGATTGTCACAACAGACAAGTAAAGAGCATTATGGGACATATATTAGGAAGCTCACTGATGCTTAGGAGTCACAAAAAGCCTCCACAAGTTCAGACATGAATAAAATGTAGAGGGGGACCAACTAGTAGGAGGGTGTGGAGAGAGGTCTACACTGAGAAAACCCATTGGGTTGGTATTGATAAAGGAATGCCTACAAGGAATAGTTCGCTTATGGCTAGCAGCGGTTCTCAACCTGTGGGTCGCGACCCCTTTGTTGGTCGAACGACCCTTTCACAGAGGTCGCCTAAGACCATCCTGCATATCAGATATTTACATTACGATTCATAACAGTAACAACATTACAGTTATGAAGTAGCA